CAACTCCTCATGTACTCCTCGTCTCTGCAAAAAGGAGCACTGATACCACGGCCTCTACGGAAGTAGGAACGGAAGAGTGCAAAACTGCGCCGAATCATGAGCGCATTCCCAACGTCGCCGTGGGAAGCGCCGCGAACATTCGCCATCTGCCATCGAGGAGATCCACCTGCATCACGAGGTGCCGGAAGCGTTCGTGTCAGCGTCGCCGAAGTCAAGATGAGTGGCTGCCGTTGGTTGAGGGATGGCGATACGGTGCTGTCATGCTGAGGTCGTCCTCCAAGTAGCATTCAAGCATGAGGGCTCGTGTTATCCAGGGGGGGCGTCCGCGAACAACTTTGGCGTCGCTGGTGGCGCCGATGTTGCTTCTCCTCATGCGGCTTGTTCTTAGTCCGTCTCTTCGTTTCGTGGCTCTGCCTTTGGATAAGAACCCTTTAGGAAGCTTGCTCTAATCTTGTAAAGCCCTTAGACTACTGAACCTTTAGGGTATAAACTTTTGTGTGAAACCTCCTAACCCTTCTTTTGTCCCTTATGGTAGCCCTTGTAGTAACCGCTATAGTAACCCCTATAGCTACAGCCCCTACCAGGGTTGAGGGTGTATGATTTGGTCTCAGCTTCTTGGGCGCAAATGCTCTCAGACTTGCCGTTTCAAGTTGAGGGCCTGTATCTTCTTCTGACGGTTTGGTCCGGTCCCGCTTCGAGTTTATTACTTGGAGGGTCGGGGGACTTAGTAAATGGTTATTTTATAGACTTATAAGAACTATAACCCCAATTAGGGTCGCTTTTAGGGTACTTATAAGTCTACTTATTACCTACTTACTAAGTCTCCCGACCCTCCAAGTAGGACTCAGATAGCCTTGCACGACAAGGTCTTGAATAAACTTGGCTGACTTCTGAACCCCTCCAAAAAGTTATAAACTTCCAGTCTCCCTCTTCTGGTTCATACAGGAGTTTCCGAAAATTAGGGGTACCTTATTCGGGGGTCCTTATAATAAGGATCCTACTATTTAGGGTACTAGATTAGGGTCCCCTATTTTCGGAAACCCACATATAGAAACCCCAAAAGTTAAAGTCCTAAGAGCCAACCAGAAGAACACCAGGTACAGACTTGTCGGTGCTGGCCAGGTCCAGGTCTTTCGACGCTACGAGCTGCCGGGTTGAGACGTCATTATACTATAATTATAATAAGCAACCCCCAAGAGTAGTATTTGTAATTATTTAGGCCCCTACATTACACCAAAACCTTGAGGGTTCGCTGCAGGTTGAGAAGATCGTTTAGGCTGGGGGATGTGTGCTTTAGGGCTTTAGGGGTATAGGGTTTAGGGTTCAGGGTTCAGGGTTTAGGGTTTCGGGTTTGAGGGTTGAGGGTTTAGGGTTCAGGGTTCAGGGTTTAGGGTTCAGGGTTTATGTGGCGGTTGCGCTATCGTCCGTGTTGGGTCCTGGCCTTCGCTCTCTACGATTCCACGCAGGCATCCTGCATGGAGCCCTGATTAAGAACAAGCCCTGATCATCGGCTTTACATGGTGGTTTCCGAAAACAGGGGACCCTAAGATAGTACCCTAAATAGTAGGACAGATCTCTATTGTAAGGACCCCAGAATAAGGTACCCTATATTTTCGGAAGCTCCCACATGCAGTTCGAGTCAAGTTCAATGACCCCGAACCACCCAGGAGACCCTAAACCCTAAACCCTAAACCCTAAACAGTCTAAGCGCCCCCGGCAAGATCCTCGTCTCCTCGGAACCCAAATGGCTCTACGGTTCATGAGATACATCCTGCAGTACCCATAATAAGGAATATACCGTCATTCCCATAGTTTAGGGTCCTTAAGGTAACCATAATAAGGAATATACCGTCATTCCCATAGTTTAGGGTCCTTAAGGTTAAGCAGGATTTTTATGATCAACAGAAGGAGCCCTTAACCAAAAGAGCCCTAAACCCTAAACCCTAAATCCTTAACCCTAAACCCTTAACCCTTAGAGCCCTACGCCACGACTGGGCCCCCTTGCATGATGGAGTCGAAGCACGGAAGAACTGCTCTTCGACCTGAGAGAGGGGAGCCAAGGGACTCCCATTTGGGTTTAGGGTTTAGGGTTTAGGGTTTAGGATTTAGGGGTTTGGGTTTAGGGGTTTAGGGTTTAGGATTTTTACGGATTTCTTTCTTCAATCATGTAGGGTTCAGGGGTTTAGGGTTCGGCGCGGAATGTACCTGACGTCATAATACAGATGCATTTCCCTGTAATCATAGCAGTGTGCTCCTTACATGCAGGGGGTCGTGATGATCACCACGGTTGATGATATAAATTCCGCCGTACCCAAAATAAAAGGACAAAGGAATTTACCATAATTCCCCTAGTCTAGGGTCTTCAAGGTAATGCAGGATTTATATCATCAACAGTCTTTTCAGTCTTACTTTTACGAGTATTGGGGTTCTTGCTGTTTTTATCACTACCCCAAGGGGCTTGAAAGGGCTTCCGGGGAGTGGTGGGCCTTTGGGGTTTAGGGTTTAGGGTTTAGGGGTTTAGGGTTTAGAGTTTAGGGTTTAGGGTTTAGGGTTTAGGGTTTAGGGTATTTCAAAGGTTTGAAGTCCTAAAGGTGGCTGTTCGGAGTGAGGCTACTTGGAGGATCATGGAACTTAGTAAGTAAGTAAGGTTAGAAGTCCCTTAATTGGGGTTCTAAGTATAGTTACCCTAATTATAACCCTACTTACTACGTCCCATGATCCTCCAAGTACCCATGGTCTTGGCTCTATCTTTCTTGCTGTAGGGTTTTTGCGGTGTGGAAGTCGTGGCAGGATGCCCTGACAGGTCTGCATCTAATCCATGGAACTCAATGGCCTTCTCTTGGCTAGTAGAATGGTCCGATATCTTTCGACGGTCTATTTCTCTACATCGTCAACCCTTCAGCAATCACAAAACCGAGAGGTTCACGAACACAACTTTAAATCTCTATTGACTATCCGCAGCACTATTTCATCAATAGTTGAATGGAGTAGGATTGTTACTTCATGGCCAAAAGACAAAACCCTAAACCCTAAACCCTAAACCCTAGCTCTGGACTCTAGTCCTCTGATGGGCTACTCTTCGCCGGCGTACCTCTCAAAACCATGATATGGTCCTTTTGAAAGCCCTCCTTTACGACAAATGGCACCCCTAAAAAGCCTTAGAAAGCCTTAGAAGTCCCTCATAATATCGGCTTAACGCCATAATATAAGCATCACTTTCTTTGAGCAATTCGCGTCGAAGCCGGGGGGCATGGCACGAAGCTTCCGATCTGATTCAGCAAAGCGATCAGCGCCACAGACCTTCCAAAGGACTCCACCACCCTAAACCCTACCTTAAGAACCCAAAACCCTACTTTTTTGTAGGGTCCCTATGAATCCCATATTAGGGTGTATAATAAGAGCCTACAAAAAAGTGGGTTTGGGGTTCTGAAGCTAAACCCTAAACCCTTTCATGGTTTAGGGGCTCGACTTCCTTGAAAGTAGCGCCTGTTTGTCACAGACCCTACTATTGGGGCTCAGTTGGTGTCCACTGCTTTTTTTGAGGCTCTCACATGCCCGTTGAGGTGCGTTGTAGTGCGGCTACATCGGAACAATAAGGGCTGACTATAACTAGCTCTTGGATCCATGGATCTCTCTCTCTCTCCCTCTCTCTCCCTCTCCTCCCCCTCTCTTTCTCTCTCTCTCTCTCTCTCTCTCTCCCTCTCTTCCTTCTCTCTCTCTCTCTCTCTCTCTCTTTGAATTTGAGAATGAACGGGTAGCAGATTACTGCTCCCGGAACTACCCATACCGAGAGACTCCAGTACCTAAAATATTGTTGAGGGATCCTTCATCTGATTTGAGGTATATGGGTAGCTCTGGAAATTAGGTCGCACCCTTGTAAAAAAAGGACCCTAAAAGGGACCCTACTTTGGAGAACTACCCTTTCAGGGTTCCGAAAATAGGCGACCCAATTTTAGTACCCCAAATAGTAGGATCCTGATTGTAAGGATCCCAATATAAAGTACCCCTTATTTTCGGAAACTCCTATTTAGCCTCAAACTAACCCCAAACCCTAAACCCTAAAAAAGGACCGTCTTTTTCGAAGCCTAGGCCCTGCACCGATGAATCGTGCAGGGGGCCGTACCGGAACACTGTGGATCCGGCTTCTCGGGGGACCTGGCCTAGGTACCTCCTGTTCTGAAAGCGGTCTAGGGCTTAGGAGTTAGGGTGTAAACCCGACACCCTAAACCCTGAAAGCTTGAGCTTCCGAACGTGGGCTTGAGCATCTGCAACCACACCTTTTCATGCTGTTCCCGCAACAGTCGCAACAGCGCTTTCTCTTTCGATGCCCTGGACACACCAGGGCATCGCTCAGCCAGGGTTTGAGGGACATGCTGGACGCGTGCAAACTACCACAGGGCTTCGATCTGTCGGATGCATGTAAAAAATTCTTTTGAGCCGTCCTTAACTTCACCTCAAACCCCTCAGAACTTCGTTGAATACATATGGAAGTTTCCAAAAATTAGGGTACCTTATCTTGGGGGTCCTTACAATAAGGATCCTATTATTTAGGGTACTATATTAGGGTCCCCTATTCTCGGAAACCCCCATCATCGTTGCAGCATGATCCGCGGAAACATCGGCCAAGGCCGGCTGTACACTGTGCACGGGGGTGGTTTCCGCGTTCCATCCTCAGCTTCGGACTTGCCATACCCAGAGACTCCAAAACCCCTTAATTAAGGAATATACCTTAAATTATAATAGGACCCCTAATATGATTTAAGGTATATTCCTTAATTAAGGGGTTTTGGAGTCTCTGGGGAGGAGGGTCGGAGCTCTCAGTTTAGGGTTTAGGGTTCAGTATATATTCCTCAGTTTAGGGCTTAGGGTCTAGAATATATTCCTCAGTTTAAGGTTTAGGGTTTCGTAGAAATTCCCTCAGTTCAGGGTTTAGGGTTTAGCTTCTGTTTAAGCTTATATGAGCTCGTGGCTGAGTCTTGGGCCACGAGGCTGCTGGGACCTCAGTAAAAGGAGGCGGCGGCAGCGCAAAGCCGCTCTCTGTTGATGTCCTGGGTTGGAGTTTTGGGGCCCCCGTAACAGGATTTATGAATAGGTACCTCTATATAGGAAGCATATAGGGGAATTCAAAAGTTTCCCAAAGTGCCACCTGGTGTCAGGGTGCTGGAGAGAGGTGATGAGAGAGCAACTGGCAGCGGCTGAGTCGTCTGTCATACCCAGATAATTCCGACCGCCACTCTCCGCCCACCACTCATTGCCCGGATGTGCATTCCCATCCCAGGCATACATGGCCACCAAGAGCCGGCCCTGCACAGGCTCTGCAAAGCCAGTCTGCGTGGCAATCACCTGATAGGGTTGCACTCTCAGGGTCTATCATCTGGGTATCGCTGCCGAGTTGTCTTCAAGGTTGTCGTGTCTGCCATCATGAAGGTCGTGCAGGCTACTTGTTGAACGGCTCTTGGTTACCGGCTGCGACTTGCTACATCCACTGATGCTAGCAGCAGCAGCACCAGCAGCAGCAGCACCAGCATCCGTACGGCACTCCCACCGGCACCACCACGGCCACCACCACCACCACCACCACCACCACCACCACCACCACTGCCACCACCATCACCAAGATGACGACTACTCCTATTTCTATTATTGCTACTGCTGCTGCTGCACTGCTGCTACTAATACCACTACTACTCCTGTTGCTATTGCTGCCACTGCGAAGACGACCACTTCTACCCTTGCCAGACCACCTAACAATCTTTAATGCTGAGTGCTATGTCTTGAACCCCATACAGCTTCTTGCCGTACTGTCAGCAATGGTATTCTTGTCCCTTGAAGAAGTCGCAGAATCAGTTTTCAATTCACTGAAGGAAACTGAGTACAACATCCCTATACCCCGTACAAACCTATGGCACGGATCCACTCGCAACCCATGTACTTCGTGCATGCAAAAGTGGTTGCTGGAAGAATTTGTCAGTCTTGAAACGCCTTTCTGAGTTTTTGCCAGACTTGTTTTACGGTGTCGTTCATCAGCAGTGCGTTTGTTTGCCCCTGCCCCTGGCCCTACCTGAATGCCACGTGCCGCACCCGCAGAAACCACAGAGTCCGGAACGGCGCTCGGGAAGAAGGAGAAGTCCAACACATCAATGCCCTGGAGTTTATTGGGTTTAGGGCTGTTTGAAGGCTGCGTCAGAAATACTGAACCCCAGTCTTATTGTAACGCTCCTGAACAGGGGCCCGCCACCTTCAAGAGACCCGTTTACCGCCAAGGCCCCGGGAGCTTTGGCTGTAGGGCGGAACTCGGATCCCAGAACTTGTCGTTCAATACCCCACCAAAGCAGTCGAACTCGACACCGTCGCTTCTGTGTAATGGCCACTATAAGGCCCTCATACTTTTCATACAGCTGGAGAATACTACAGAGTATTTTTCCAGAGCCGTAACTAAATTGATAAGGCCCCATATTACGGTTGATCAGATGAATCCTGCATTACCTTAAGGACCCTAAACCATGGGAACTATGGCATATCCCGTATTATGGGTCATGCAGGAGTTACACCATCAACCGTATCCTGAGCCCCCTCGAGGATGCACTGACCTCAAGGTGCTCCTCACTGAGGATCCTCTCATAGACCCTGTACATCAAAGGCTCCTGCAGTTTAGGGTTTAGGAACCCTAAACCCTAAACCATTTTGGAAGGTGCCTTTAACTGGGCTTTGAAGCAACCAGGGAGAAAAAAGTATAGACTTGTGTTTTATAATGGCTCCTTTAAGGAACAGGTCCCAAAAAAAAGTATTAAAGTATGGTACTCCAAACCCTAAACCCCTAGACCCTAAACCCCTAAACCCTAAATTCTAACCCCCCTACACCCCTAAACCCCTAAACCTAGGGTTTTGGAACCCCAAACCCCAAAACCATTTTTGAAGGTGCCTTTAATGGTCAGATCCGGGTGTGGGGATGAAAGTTCAGGCTTTTTGGGATATCTTGTGGAAGAGTTTTTCGTAAGGAGCCATTAGGGTTCAGGCTTTTTGGGATATCTTGTGGAACAGTTTTCATAAGGAGCCATTAGGGTTCAGGCTTTGGGGGATGTCTTGTAGTATAGTTATCATAAGAACAGTTTTCATAAGGAGCCATACGGGTTCAGGCTTTGGGGAGATCTTGTAGTATAGTTGTCATAGGGAACTAGAAGGAATGGTATTACAAATTGTTCAGGTTCCTATGTTATGCCCAGAGCTCTTGGAACGCTCTTGCGACTAGCATACGGTTCACTGCAATCTGAAACACGAGGAGCAAGACCAAGAGCTCAATTCACAAACAACAATAATAACTTGGCTGACTTCTGAACCCCTCCTAAAAGTTAAACTTTTAGCTCCCTTATCATAGTTCATATAGAAGCCCAAAAAGTTAAAGTCCTAAGACCAAGCAATGGTAAGGCTTTCCCGAGGACGACGGCTGCAATGATGATGGATGGCAAGCACAAGCCCAGAGACTCCAAAACCCCTTAATTAAGGAATATACCTTAAATTATAATAGGATGCCGAATATGATTAAAGGTATATTCCTTAATTAAGGGGTTTTGGAGTCTCTGGGAGGGCCACAAGGGGGCCTTCGCAACTGGAATAGGGCTTGGGGCTGTAGAATGCTTTCTCGTATATCATGGTTCCCTCAAGCATAACATGACAAAATATTCAAAACTCTATCCCTAAACCCTACACCCTAAGCCTCGAAAGCCTCGATAGTAAAAAGCTATCCCAAGCCAATGTGAAGCCCTCGAGGCCATTCAGTATGGGATTGGTTTGGGGTTTAGGCTTAAGGGGTTTAGGGTTTGGGGGTTTAGGGTTGAGAGGTTTAGGGTTTTCCGTATCTCTACCACTAGCATTGCCAGTGGCCTTTATAGCAATTATCAGCAATCTCATTGCCTACATGAGCTGCCACTGCGAACCTGTTCTGGAGCATTTTAACCCTGTCGTCTGTAAAGGCTGCTGGGACCTTCCAAAATCCACATACACACCAAGAATGAGACCTGCTAAAACTCTCCTAGATCCGTGTACAACCCCACTGCAAACCCTCTTCAGCCTTAGCAGTCAGACAGGACTTCTACGGGAACCCATTGAAGAAGGTCTCTTTAGTGGTCTTGATTGCGGGCCTCTATGAGGGAGAACCCTGTCACGGTGGTATAACCTTCTAGCATCCCCATTAAACCCTAAACCCTCAACCCTAAACCCTCAACCCTAAACCCTAAACCCTAAACCCTCAACCCTCAACCCTCAACCCTATATTAAAAAAAGCCTTCTAGTCCTGTATCGGACCTTCGCCCCGAAGCCGTAAATTCCGATGAAAGGAGCTATGCCATTTAGGGTTTAGGGTTTAGGGTTTAGGGTTTAGGGTTTAGGGTTTAGGGTTTAGGGTTACGGTTTAGGGTTTAGGGTTTAGGGTTTAGGGTTTAGGGTGCTAGCAGCCTTGTAACACGCTCTTAAGCCCGGTACTTGGAGGATCATGGGACTTAGTAAGTGAGGTTATAAGTCCCTTAATTGGGGTTATAAGTATAGTTACCCTAGTCAAAACCCTACTTACTAAGTCCCATGATCCTCCAAGTATAGGATCCAAAAGAAACCCTGGTCCTTTAACACAACCCCGCTCTTAAGGGGTTTGAGGCTTCCTATATAGTAGGATCCATATTATGACTTAAGTGGTCTAAGGCTTCAGATATTGTAGGATCCAAAAGAAACTCTGGTGCTTTAACACAACTTGGAGGATCATGGGACTTAGTAAGTAAGGTTATAGGGTTATAAGTAATTATACGGCCAGTTACCTTATTTATAACCTGAGTTACTAAGTCCAATGAACCTCTAAGAACCCCGGTCCTGCACAGGATCGATCCACCAGGCTCCCAGTCCAAGACCTTTCACACGCGCATGGGCGCCCAATGGATGGCCTGTGCTCAGTGGCTTTAGGGCTCTGTAAGGTCTACGAGGTCTGTTTTTCTTTTGGGGTTCCATAAGTGTTGGGTTTTTGGGTTCCGGGGGTTTTCTACGACGGTGTCTTAGGGATCTGATAAGTGTTTGGGGGTTTGGCGCTCAGGGTTTAGGGCTCGTAGGGTGGATGGCTTGTTGCCTGTAGGGTTTAATGTTTGGGCTTGGGGTTCAGTTTCTATGGCTGCGATGTGGCCTAATGACGCTCCGCGTGTTGTGGATGGTAAGCATACGGGCCTCAAGAAAAGAAAAGGCAAGCATATTCATAGTAATCGTAACCGCGGTAGTGATAAACATAGCCATAGCGTCAGCAAGAACACAAGCAATATAAACATTATCAGTAGTGACAACAGGGAAAGACATGGACCATGCAATAAGTATTAAATCAGAAACAACTAGCAACTAGCAACAACTAATAAGTACTGTAACAAGTAGTAACGAACCACCAAGAGCGACGGGTATTCAGTAACAGGTATCGACAACAGTGACACTAGTAGTCACTAGCGGTTGCAGCAATGACAGGCACATTGACAATGACAATGATCACGGTAGTGACGACATATGATAAGAACCGTCATCATACTACTGTACTGGTAGTGCTTTTGCTAAGTTAAGGCAGGGGTGCGAGGGGTGGGGGCGGGGGCTGGCTTTGGTGGTCAGAGAGTGTCGTGATGTAATCTTTAGCAAAACACCTCAGATGCCCATACGAGCGGCACAAAGGCTCTGTGGGCATCCAAAGTGGGTGGAATGGTCTGTTACGAGAAAGTACAGAAAGTACTTGGGGCTTTTGAGAGAAGACTTGTGTCATTGCTGTTGTTGTTGCGGCTGAAGGCAACGATGATGCACGTGATGCAAGCATCATCCTGCCAACACCAGTCAGCAATACCGGTAAACAGAAGTGATGCGAACACAGATTAGATAGTGATGGCTACCGCCATGGTGGCAACTTGAACTACCATGAGTGCCCGTCATACCATCGGCATCACCAAAATTATCGCGATCATTATCACCATCGCCGGCGTAATCATCATCTCGAGTGAGTGTGTGTGTGTGTGTGTGTGTGTGTGCGGGTGTGTGTGTGTGTGTGGGTGTGTGTGCGTGTGCGTGTGTGTGTGTGTGTCTGTGCTCCACTGTCCTGTCGATGTCCAGGCAAACACACCCCAGGCATGACGTGAGCTCTGCTGGTGACGAGAAACTCCTAACGCGAACTCGGGCTACAACGCCCCAAAGCCTGAGAGCCCCCCAAACAAAACGTAACAGGGTTTTGGCGTAGGAGTCTCACACATCTTGACATACGGCACGCAATCGAAAAGACCTGCGGAGCCGTGAATCCCACCAACATATGGGTTCTCTAAATTAGGGGCCTCTTTTAGGTCCCCAAAATAATACGGCATCCTTGGAGAAAAAAGAACGACCCTCATTTAGAGAACTACTCATATAGCACCCTTCTAGATATAAACTCTATGGCAACCCTCATAGATCCCTTTAAAGAACCCTAGAAAAAGGACCCTATTTTTGAGAACTACCTAAACCCTAAACCCTAAACCCTAAACCCTAAACCCTAAACCCTAAACCCTAAACCCATATCCCCAGGCCTTCAGTTTGTGCGCGATGTCGCAGACCCCGCTCGCTAGCGTACAGCAAGAATGGGCGCACCGTGTGGCGGATCCGCAGTTGGTAGATCTCCTGGGGATCTTGCCAAGGGATCTAAATTCTTAAGTTACCATAATAGGGATCTATAGTTAAGGGATCTAAATTAAGCTGCTATAATCGGGATCTATAGTTCAGGGATTGAAGTTAAGCTACCATAATGATAAGGATCTATAGTGAACCCTCAAAAACCTTCGCTTTTGTGGAGGTAGGGCTTGGAGTTGAATGAGCCCTTCGCTGCGTCGCCCCGCTTCCTCGCAGTCTCTGAAGTCCAAGTTCAAAACCTTCGAAGTCCCGAAGCCCTAACGTAGGGGCCTTCATAATTAGAATGGGGGTTCGGGGGTTCCTTCAAAGAGTTCCTTAAAGGGTTCTATCAGGGCTACTATAAGGGTTCCATAAGATAGGGGTCTTAATCATTAGAGTAGGGTTTTGGGCCCATGGTGCTATACTCAAAATAAGGAACACCCAAAATAGTATAGGTAATTATTAAGGCCGATAAATTACACTCTAAGCCCTTAATTTCCCAAGCTCCTGAACCCTACGGTCCCTAAACGCCACTTTTTCAGGCCCTAGAATGGGAGTAATACTTCGGAAAGGGTTTTGTGGTATATTTACACAGTGAGCATGATATGGAACCCTTAAGGAATAGTGTTACAAAGTATTCATTCCCACTATCGTAGCCGAGTCTCCTTGTCAAGGTACTTTGGCGTGTCTGCTGGCTTCGAGACCGCTCCACCGTAGTAGTGCTCCATGCAGGACCTACGCAGAGACTCCATCGTGTCTCAAGTAGGAACTACGGTTAGGGCCTGGTCGCTGCAGGGGCTTCATTCGTCAATTCTGCTCGAGACCCCAAATACCCTAAACTGTGACATAAACCCTAAGCCCTAAATCCTAAGCCCCAAACCCTAAGCCCTTTCAGTATTTCAGACCTCCAGAAGTTACCCAAAGGTTTCTTCATTGGATTTAAGGACTGTCTCGCCTGCCTTGAGCTAAGCGATAATGGAGGCTCTGGGCACAATCGTCGGGGGACCTGGCCCTGAGGCTTAATAGTTACAATAGCCCCCCCCCCCCCCCCCCCCNNGGTTCAGGGTGTAGGGCTTAGGGTTAAGGGTCAGCTCCTATTTCCGGGAACCCAACCCCAACAACCGAAAGCCCAAAATCCACCGAACTGTCACCCGAAAGCCCTAAAAACTCTAAACTCAGTCGCCATAGCAAAACAACGAGAAACAACAGTCCCGTCGGGCACATATTATGATACTCTACTCTACTCCTTTTAGAAGGTGAGCAAAAGCAAACTATTCTTTGGAGATCCCCATAGAAGGAACCCATAAGTCTAATCAAGGGAACAGGAAACAGCGTTTTAGATATCCAAAACCCAAAACCCTTAGCCCCAAACCCCAAACAAGGGTCTGAATAGTTAGAATAGGGCACCCCCCCCCCCCCCAACATAATCTTGGTACTTATTTCGGCCCCTACGTCAAACCCAGGGGCCTGCAATACGTCCGCTTTCTCCAGCCAGTTTTCTCCGTCCAAGCTTCCTGGCTCCTGGGGTGTTCAAGAGCACAATAAATTTTAATATACTCTGTATATATATAAATATACATATATATATATATACATATTTATATTTAGACATGCATGTATTATACTATAGTCTACTCTAACTTACCCTGATAAAATACGATAGTTGCAGTATGTAAAGGGTCTTGGATCGGAGTCTTAGGGCGTCTCAATTGGGTTTACAAGTTAGACAGCTTTGAAAGGCTGTTAGGGCCCCAAAACAGCACATAAGCAAAACTTAGGATAGGGATATCCCATATAAACCCCCTTATAATGAAGCCCATTATGGCCTTGTTGGGTTCCTAAGCGGTTGGAATAGCTGTTCCGAAGCTCTCTTCGACGGCTTTCGGTGGTTTCCAGGGCTCGGGCTAAGACATCCAGATCTTCGGTGCTTCACCTCTGCCACGGTTTAGGGGTTTGGGTTTAAGGGTTTTGGGGTTTAGAGTATTCCTGATACCCCACGAAAAAACTGTCTGCAGGTCTTAGAGCGTGTTGTTGTCTTTCATAGGGTTTATCGGGGTTTACAGGGCTGTAAGGATTCATGAAGAGTTTATCCATATTATGCGTTTTTCATGGTGTTTTATGGGACTGTATGAGGTTAATCAGGCTTCGCAAAGGCTTTAAACTTTATATACGGCCAAGGCAATTCAACCCAACAAAGAGGAAAGTGCAACCGAGATACCCCTCTAGAGTCCCGAAGCCACACACACGCACACCCCAAGAATGCACAGTAATCCAAAGCCTACCTCAATAAGACACGCCAGCAAGTGGGAACCTGAGTTTAGGATGATTCGTGTTGGGATTCCTTGAACCCTAAACCCTATACCTTAGGGTCATGAGGACAATGATGTTTCCGACTTTCTGGCTTCTACTCCAGGGCTCTTCGGGTGTACCTGAACCCAAAATAAGCTGCCTCTTTAGGGACCTATATGGGTAGTTCTCTAAATTAGGGTCCCTTTTCGGGTCCCCAATGTCGTACGGCACCCTTATAAAAAGGACCCTAAAGGGGGACCCTAAATTAGAGAGTTACCCATCATTTTAACTAAGGAGCCCCATAAAGCCCGGTGTCGGTTTCTTAGGGTCCGGGAAGGGGTTGGGGTTTAGGGCAGTGGGGCCTTCGCTTGCACCAGCCGCAATCAGCTCCAATCCGATGAAATCGGAGCTCCTCCGTGTCCGCCTGAGCATCGTTGTCGGGTTTAGGCTGTTAGGCGGCGAAACTTTCAAACCTAAACTTGCACCCTTAACCCTAAACCAGCGCCAGAAGCAACAAACCCAAAACCCCAAAACCCCCTCAAACCCCCCAAAACGCCCAAAACCCCAAACCCGCAAAACCCCAAAACCCCAAACCGCCAAAACCCCAAACCCGAAACCCCAAAATCCTAAAACCCCTACACCCCAAAACCCCCAAACCCGAAACTCGAAGCCCCAATATACCCCAGAACCCTAGTCTAATTATTAATCTCCCTAAATGGAATCCGATTATGGATCCCCTACCCAGACCCCCAAAAAGGATCTAAAAAATAGATCCCCTAATTAGGGACCCTAACTACTAAAGGGTACTTTATAGGAACCCCCTTAGGGGATCTATTGTTTAGATCCTTTTTGGGGGTTTGGGTATAGAGCCCTAAACCCTAAACCCTAAACCCCTAAACCCTAAACCCTAAACCCTAAACCCTAAACCCTAAAAGGATCCCTTTAAAGGAGGATCCTCAGCTCAAAACTCCAAGCCCCCAAGTCCCCACGCCTAAAGTCAACCTGGACCTGCCAGAAAAACTACTTTTTTTGTAGGGTTCCCATGAATTCTGTCTTATTTTGTCAGGTTCCCATGAGTTTTTTGTCTTTTTTGTGAGGTTCCCGTTAATTTTTGATCTTTTCGTAGGGTTTCCATGAATTCTGTCTTTTTTTGTAGGGTTCCCATGAAGTTTTGTCTGTTTTGGTGGGGCTTCCCCTTAACTCCATATTGCGGTTTATCATACGAACCCACCTTTTTGTTATAGTGCCCCCCACTAATTCTGTGTTACGGTTTATAGGTAAAACTGTACGAAGTAGGTCATGGTAGTAGAAGGAACTCCTACTTGGAGGGTCGGGGGACTTGGTAAATGGTTATTTTATAGACTTATAAGAACTATAACCCCAATTAGGGTCCCTTTTAGGGTACTTATAAGTCTACTTATTACCTACTTACTAAGTCTCCCGACCCTCCAAGTACAGTGTCTGCCTGAGCATCAGCGAGGGTGCCGAAGCGCAAGCCGTAGAACTCTTCCCAAGCTTCTGTGATGGGGCCCGGCGTCTTTGTCTCACCTCCGGTTCAGGGTTTAGGGTTTTTAGGGCTTGGGGTTTAGGGGTTTAGGGGTTTAGGGTTTAAGGGCTCCGGGGTTTAGGTTTAGATTTCTAAGGCTTCAATCTTGAAGGTTCGGAGTTTGAGAATGTACAAGTAGGGTGATTGCTCGGGATTCCTGCGCGTCGGCAAACGCAAGGTTTGGGTTTTGGCTTTCGGCAAGATTTGAAATCTGCAAGTGGTACGTGCTTCGGGATTTCATGTTTGTGAATCGTACCCATCGAAGCAGGTATTCAGGTTTCTGAATAGTACCTATCGCGGCTGGGCTGAATCTTAATCCAACATTCTGGACGCTTTTGTATGATGTCCTGCTCTCGCCACTTTTCCTCGAAGTCGTTAAAATGCAGTCCTGTGCATGCCTACCGAAGTCACTGTGCGCCGTGCGCTCTCTCTTTCTCTCTCTCTCTCTCTGTTTGTCTGTCTGTCTGTCTGTGATCAGCTCAGACCTTAGACGACCATAAACCCTGCAAGCCTAAACTCTAAGCTTATTAAACCCGAAAGCTTAAGCCCTAAACCCCGAAGCCTAAACCCTAAACCCTGAACCCTAAACCCTGAACCCTAAACCCCCCTGATTTGTTTGTGCTGCCACTGGTGATCAGCCTCCTGCTGCCCCTGCTTTTTTAGGGGCCTTAAACCCTAAACCCCCAAATCC